GCACGCTGGGCTGGGAGTGAGCTCATGAGCTCACAGCCTCCCCAGTGCCAGCTGCTGGCTCGGCTGGGACATGTAAAGGGAACGAGGGAAAATGCATGTGGGAGGAGGGAGGCACGGGGAGGGGGGGCAGAAAGGGGACAGGATGTTAGTTGCTAACATTTCATGTTTAGATTTAGATCTGCCAAAATCATGCTGGAGGTCTCGGTGTTTACACCTCTGCAGTAAAGGGTGGCAGGCTTTGCATTGTGTGAGACTGCTTCACTCCAGGCTGACATTTGGAGCTACGGCTGCCTGGTAGGGGCAACTCAGAAGGAGCAGTGTGCTCTGAGGAAGGACATTTCTATTTCGCAATAGACCAGCAGCTGCCTCTCTTCTCAGTAAGATACTGGGGTGGTACCTAGGGCTAGACCAGGCTAGACCAAGACAGAGAGCCAGCAAGGAGTATAAAGATTACTGCTATTTATTTATAGCAACCACCACAGGTTTGGGAACTATCCATTTTAATAGCCACACCTCACACACAGACACTTTCACATTTATAACTATTTGTTTTTACACCTCTCCTCAATGCAGACACTCATCTCCCTAATAACTGACTTAGCTTTATACACTTCAGCAGCCTGACTGACTTAAAACTGCTTTAGCATCAGGGCTTCTGTTACAACCAAAAAATCAGTTTATCTGAATTAAGATGGCTGTGGCTGCAACCACTGTGACCATCTGAGCTGAGATGTGCAAAGTGGCTGATTCTGTGCTTGTGAATACCATGTTTTGTGGTACTGTTCTGGGGACAGGTGAGAAGGTACCAAGAGCTTCATTGTACCAGACCCTGTGTTAGGGTGTTTAAGGCAGAGCTATAAAAGCAGAGAGCCCAGGAGCACAGTTCACCTCAGCTTTGTATGACCAGGCCCCGCTAGTATCAACAGTAAGTGATGCTGAGGGATATAAATGTTATTATGAGGCACTGCACTGTAGTGCCTCATAATTCACCATACCCTGCTCTGCCCAGATGCTGGCTTGGTGCCAAATCTCTACCAAACAGTCATGCCATGCCTCAGCATCTCTTTTCCTGGAGCAACACAAGCAGTACAGGCTCTGCTACTGCAGCCTCCCCCATCTTTCCTCTAGATCCCAGCCATCCTTTACAGCAAAGACACAGGAGCAGAGCAAGACTTCCCCTTGTATGTGGTCAGCACACACTGGAAGAAAGGGACACCATGAATTAAAATCCTACAGCAGAAGGAAAGACTCCAACTGTAATTTTAAACAACAGCCTTGAATATAGAGCAAAATCCCCAAAGGGCAACTCCTGTGTGTCCTGCCACTTACTTCAACCACTTGGGACATAGCAAAGGGACATGTGGCACCACTTTGTTAGTGCTTGTAGACATTCCTGCAAAAATGTTAGCATCTTGAGAGCTGGCAGTGTTACTTCTGATATCTTGGAAGAGCAAAATGATAATCACTTGCCAGCAGTTCAAAACCGCTCCAACATGGTGATCTTAACAGACCCCTGATGAAGTCATGGTTCTCTTCCCAAGCTGATTTTGCCATGTACCTCTGTTCAATGAAGAGCAGTATTGACACACAGTCTCCCAGAGGAGGCTGCTGCAAAGCCAGAGGCCTCCAAACATCAGTATCACAAGCACCTCATATTTAAACTTCAGTGCATTGATGTGTCTTCAGTGTAGGTAGGTTCCACAGTTTTCATCTTCTGGGGAAACCAAGACCTGCTCTAAACCCACTTGTGCATGCAGCAAGGCTAAAAGGAGCTGCTAGCTGCACCTCTGGGAGGAATTGCGGGAGGAATGGCACCAAATTCCCACCCACCTCCCTGACATGGGAGGCTGCCTTCACAGCTGCAAACCCAAATGGGCTCTCAGAGCCTCCACAGCCCAGCAGCTGTACTGGCTATTTTCTGCTGAACCAGGGCCTCAGTATTTTCAGACAGAGAAAAGCCTTCTTGAACTCACACACACTCAAAGACCCGTGTGTAAACTGAACTTTGTGAACCACTAGAGGCATTTTTCCTTGCTATGTATATTACCAGGGGAAAAAATGCGATTTTAATAGGTTTGTTTTCAACCTACTTTAAACTCATGAAGATATGAGGCCTTATGTCATCGTTATAGTTACTACATGTGATCCTGTGTGTGTTGTGAGGAAGCGAGCTAGGAACGAGTACTGGATGAACTCAAAAGCTTGCAACTCCTCTGCCAAAGCAAAGTCTGTCACAAGTTGCTAAATACATAACCACGCAAGTTAAAGAGACCCACACACTGATAAGCCAGTATTTCAGGGTGATGAGCCTGCTGTGCACCAGCTATGAATCAAAATCTTGTCTTTAATCTTTCTTCTGCTAAGGGCTTTCTGCATGGATTTGGAGTAAGTCACTATCTGAACTTTCATTAACCCCTTTCACTCCTCCTCCCCCTGAATTGAGATCTGTAGATTGGACCTATTTACTTTGTCCAAGGCTGGAAGTATAAACCTGCTGATGGTTGTGTTAGATACCACAGTGATCACACATAGCCAAGTTTTATAAAACTATACTGTCAGGCCAATATTTTACAGTAAAATTATTTGGGGTTGACAGAATTAGAGACAAAAGCATTCATGTATCCTGGCACAGAAATCCCAGCTTTGGGCAGCAGTTTATCTGATACAGAAGTCTGTGCAAGCAGCAGGCATGTACCAGGTACAGCATGCAGTTTCCTCAACACAGAGAAGACATCACATCATCAACTCTTTTCTCCTCTTTACTATATATATGTGAGTTTTAATGTAAGATTTCTATTATTGTGTAGCTTTGGGAAGACAGGCTTGTCAGCTGCTCTGACAAAGCAGCTTTTCACTGAATGAAGTTGCTGGACTGGCATCTTGATAGAGACTCCCTTCTTTAGTTGTACTGGATGTTGGGATGGGGCTCCCGTGGGCAGTCTCTGACAACCGCCAGTTCCCCAAACATGCTGAAGTGTGATGGGGATAGTGGTAAAGATTTTATTAGTACCACAGGTCTGACTAAAAGGGAAATTTTGGCAAGACCAGATATATCTGTAAAGATAGCCTCATTAAAACACCCTGTGTGAACTGAGGGTCCTTTGAATCAGGCCAACAAGATCTATTTCTAGTTGCCTCAAAAGCTGCCCTGGAATTCAAAATTAAGATTTCAGCTTTTCAAAAATTGTGAAAAAAAAAAGCTAACCTCAACTTTCTCTATATACAGCTTCACACTGAAAAGTTTTTCTTAGTGTAACAGGAACACCTTAATTTGCTGTTTGTTGTAAACTGGCCAGTTTACCCTACTGACTTTTGAGGAGGCCAAAGGCCACCTGTGTTTGCAGTCAGCACATTCAGGCAGAGTGGGGTACCACAAAGCCACCTGAGTTAAGGTTACACAGAGCTAACACATACTCACATTAATAGCAACAAGACCAGAACAAGGGCTCAAATAAACTGTGCATATGTCCACAAGTGCTAGGCTCACTTTCACACTTTCCAATGCTCATTATAAAAAAAAATAATTAGTTGCACGCTAACCAAATGCTTTGTCTGAGCACTAGATCCTCACTTTGCAACCTACTTGAGCAACATTTTAAAGCTGTGTTCTGAACTAATTACTATTCAAAAACAGGACTATGATAGTAGTAAGAAATGCACTTAGCTGGCATAAATTTGACTAGCTTGTGTTTATATCAGGGAGATGACAAGCATGAAGTCAGTCTTTGTGGGAAGAGTCTCATCCTTCAGGGTATCAGCTTTCTGGAAATGGCGCTGTTTCCTACAATTCTCATGGAATTAACTTTTTTTACTGATTTCAGGCCTAACAAAGATATAAGACTGGTTAAATACTGATTCCCTAATTCAAAGTTATATACAGATCTAAAAAGGTGCACTAATTCAGGCAGCAGTTGTTCAATTAATTATAGGAACAACGTTGTTAAAAATTACAGCTTCAGTCTATGCGACTTCAGTGAGACTGTCTTACGAGTTGCTCTTTACAACAAGGAAGCATGTCTGAGGTCATGTGAGACCAAAGCACATGCTCACAACTGCAAGAAGAAGTTTAATATAGGGAATACACAACTTTACAGAAACCCATGCTGCGTTTCTGTATTTGCTCTGCACCTCCCTGGGAGATGCCTGCACCTCCTGGGGTCAGGCTCTTCACAAATGGTTTCAAATAAGTGATCCCCAGAAAGTACTCTAACCCTGGAGACTGCTTGGCTCGTGACTGGTGCCATGCAAGTTAAGCTAAGGAAGAGATTATTTGAATCATGGAGCCCTTTAGAAACCACTAGACCAGTGATCCCTCCAAACATGCAGTATTTTATCCATCATTAAAGTTACTTAAGAATCATGTTGACAACACAGCATCTTTCACAACTGGCTGTAATGATCTTAACCAAATTAATCACTTGAATTATCTGGGACAGCAAAAGAAACCCAGGTTATCTCAAAGGCAGTGGCTGAGAATTACATGTTATTATTTTCCACCTTTAGTTCGAGCAACTCTTTGTAGCTATCTGAGTGCTGTAAACCACAACCAAGGCAAGCTGCGGCAGCCTGGCTCTCCATCCGACCCGAGGCGGCTGAGGCAGCGTGTGCCCTCTGCACTGAACGGGGCACATTTCCCCACCCGAAGGCCGGCGGGAGGGTCGGCACCCCGAGGAAGGGGCTGTGGCCGGTGCCGATGCCCGGCCCGGAGCACTGCCCCGCGGGCACCGGGCATCCCCCACCCCGGCGCCGGGCGATGCCGTGGCGCCCCGGCCCCGGCACCGCTAAAAATAAAGCCCGTCTCCGCCTGCCCGCCCTCGGGAATCGAGGTTGGATCGATGGTTTTCTTTTAAAGCCGGATTTTATCAATCGCCCCCCACCCTCGGCAACCCGCCTTTGAACCGCCCAGCCCGGACCACAGCCCTGCGAACAACTTCAGCGCCGGGATCGCCGGCGGGCGGGGGGACGGGGCCGGGGATCCGCGGGCAGCGCTCGGCACTCACCTGGCCGGCGGTGTCGTACAGCCCCAGCAGGTACTGCTTGCCCCCGACGGTAACGCTGACTGCGAGGGGGGAGAAACACAGCGGGTGAGGGGGGGCAAGCCCGGCCGAGCGCTCTGCCGGCCCCCCCGGCAGGGCAAGGCCAGGGGATGGAGGGAGGAGGGAGGCGAGAGCGCGGCTGCCGCCCCCGGCGGTAGCGGGACCCCCCGCCCGCTCACCTGCGTAGTGGTCGAAGACGGTGGGCACGTACTCCTCGGGGAAGGCGTCGTTGGCGTAGCTCATCAGCAGGCACGTCTTGCCCACGGCGCCGTCCCCCACCACCACGCACTTCAGCATGACCGCCGCGCTGCCATGGGCCATGGCCGGAGCCCGCCCTCATGGCCCCGCGGGCGCGCCCCGCCGAGCCGGGCCCCTCGGCATCGCCGC